TGGGACGGCCTGCGCAGAAGTTTACCAAAGATCGGGAACCTACACCTCACGATCTAGCGGCAAGCAAAAAGAAATCAAATTGGTTTATACTAGCTCGAAAAACCGACATTGGATATTGGATCCACGCCAAGGACAAGTTGGCGTTGCATCATTAGCCTTGCGTTCAAGGTCACGATCGCGCCTTACTTCTTCCCAACAATTCCCAGTTCGTAATACTTTGGAATATTTATTTTAAAGAGCGTGCTTCTTGTAAGGATAATCCTTTAGTGATTTCTCGTATTAGTTAAGGCACTTAATCTTTATGCGTATGCGATGACTACAGTTTACTTATGTAGGTGAACCATAATAGGTGAGATTTTATTTTGATAAATAACAGTGTTATACAGTAATTTTAGCTGATGACGTTTTGAGCAAAAACTATTGCTCATAATCATATCAAGTCACTCTCACAATTTTTTACTCCATTTATATACATGAATGGAATTGATTAGACATTTAAATAAAAATCACTATAGGATTACGGACATTCAGAAATAATATTAGTGTTACCAATCCAGTACAATCAGATGGGAAGTGTTTTCACAGTGAAAATAAGTAACTTGTTATAATGTACGTGAATTGAAATAGAATTTTAAGATTATTTATTATCCTCCTCTGATTCGACTGGCAACAATATCTTCCATACCTCTGGTATTTGCATTGAGTCATTTCTGTTGCATGTGTTAGGTGTAGACTCGATGAACCGGGATTCAGTTATCAGTCTCTCTCTCCACCTACCTATATTACTTTTTAGAATTTCGACTCTCCCACCATATTGTGTGGTTATGTGTTAATGCATGCAGTGCGATTGCTGAGCTTTCTTCTAAATTACTTATCTTCGTGGAATCATTCATTCTAACCTTACCTAGATTCTTACTTTCTGATTATCTCACTACTCCTGTCTGATCTACTAGTTTGACTGACCTATGTAGTTGACTTAACTCACAATCACTCCGCGGTATTTTGTAAATTATATTATTTTGTTTAATTGGATCCACCGACAGGATCCTTTAGCCTACAGAGCTTGTCGTACCTGAGTGAGTTTGTAGGTTTGAATGCCACCCTAATTCCTGCTTTATCGAGAATCCTACGTAGGGCCTAAGATGTTCCCTCCTTATGTGGTATAACATGCTTTATATTCTATTTATGTTGTCATGATTAGACATTCACTTTAATTCATCTCATCCGTTGTCTGTAAAGGCTGGCTTAGTTAAAGGTCTAACGAACCGAGCAATAGCACTAAGTAGCACAAAAATGACATAAACCATGAAATGAAACAGATAGAAGAACAGCTGGTTGGTGTTGAATAACTGTCCTATAAAATTCATTAGAAATATCAAGAAAGGTCAAAGGCAAAGTAAAAATAATGCTGAAACTATCAGTAACAACATAAGTAGGAGAATATACCATATAAGGAGGGGACATCTTAGGCCCTACGTAGGATTCTCGATAAAGCAGGAATTAGGGTGGCATTCAAACCTACAAACTCACTCAGGTACGACAAGCTCTGTAGGCTAAAGGATCCTGTCGGTGGATCCAATTAAACAAAATAATATAATTTACAAAATACCGCGGAGTGATTGTGAGTTAAGTCAACTACATAGGTCAGTCAAACTAGTAGATCAGACAGGAGTAGTGAGATAATCAGAAAGTAAGAATCTAGGTAAGGTTAGAATGAATGATTCCACGAAGATAAGTAATTTAGAAGAAAGCTCAGCAATCGCACTGCATGCATTAACACATAACCACACAATATGGTGGGAGAGTCGAAATTCTAAAAAGTAATATAGGTAGGTGGAGAGAGAGACTGATAACTGAATCCCGGTTCATCGAGTCTACACCTAACACATGCAACAGAAATGACTCAATGCAAATACCAGAGGTATGGAAGATATTGTTGCCAGTCGAATCAGAGGAGGATAATAAATAATCTTAAAATTCTATTTCAATTCACGTACATTATAACAAGTTACTTATTTTCACTGTGAAAACACTTCCCATCTGATTGTACTGGATTGGTAACACTAATATTATTTCTGAATGTCCATAATCCTATAGTGATTTTTATTTAAATGTCTAATCAATTCCATTCATGTATATAAATGGAGTAAAAAATTGTGAGAGTGACTTGATATGATTATGAGCAATAGTTTTTGCTCAAAACGTCATCAGCTAAAATTACTGTATAACACTGTTATTTATCAAAATAAAATCTCATCTTTAATTGAGTTATACTCTACCACAGTGCCCAAATTTCACCCATGTCTGTCCCAATCTTACGATGATTATGAACTAATCCTAACCTATGCTACAATAATTCTTTTTTGTCGCAGATGAATATTTTATCTACCTAAAATGGACCCACTATATATTGATTTAATTCCGGTCGTTCTTGGAAACAACACTGGACACTTAATGCGATGAAACCTTAAAAATAGGATTTGATGCTGAAATAATGCCTTGAGCGCTGAAATAAAGATGAAAAAATTGTCACTATCCGCTGAACTAAATCTTTTTGTTCTGAAGTAATTGCAGTCAATGCTGATTCTGGGCTGAGAGGGCTGAAGCAACGGTGATTACCAAACCCAGTAGATTCTAAACTATTATAAATGCTTAGAATAAAGCACAGAATGCTGAATCGATCTCAGTCAGCATTGAGATGTAGTCTGTGTGCATAATCAAAGAATTTCAGAATTTGCTCTTATAGAATGTTAGAGTTAGTTCAGAACTAGCGAGATTTAATTCAGCATTATAGTTATCTTCATTGTTTAAAAATGGGACTGATGTTTTGATGATGTAAAATTGATGTTTTAACGGGATCGCTTGTTGGACTCATTTAGCATATGTGAGATTTTGTTTCCGTCTTATGAATAAGCAGGATTGAGTTTCCTCAATGTTGTGGTCACTGTCTTAAAAACGTAACTTTAAGATAAGATAATAGCTTTATTCCAAATCAGTACTTGTGATACAGAATGGAATTCTCAGCATTTTACTACAATATTGCATCCAGTTAGTACATTAACAATAAATAAAGTTCTACATAGATTAAAGTTATCTCAGTCAGTTTTGACAACAACATATTAGCATGTCGGTAGCAAAGCCAAAATTTTAAACAGAGTGTTTGAAGGTGTTAGAAAAGTAGATACTACTAGCATATTTACTGGCGTAAGCGATAGCAAAATGGTCGAGATATACAGAGTGTGAAAGAACGAACGAGAATGCTTTAAGTAGAGTTTGTAAAGAAGAGAGAAACAAAACGGCACATAACAAAAATAAATACAGAAAAAAAAGGTAGAGAGAAAAAACGTTGTAACTGTAAATGATGTGAGTTGGAAAGACGAGATCCATTGTTCTACTGACTATTTAATAAGTTAAAGGTTTCACGTCTAATGCTTTCTTTATCGCACAGAACACGAGCTAGGTAGGGTATGGATGAGTTTTTGTACTTACTATATAGGCTTCTGGTTTTGCCTGAAGAGATACAAGGGGAGAGTTGTGAATGAACAGGGTGTTGTGAGTTAGATCAAATGGATTTAGCCCATTTTTCATATGAGTCCTTGTGCCTGTCAACCAGAATATTAACAAGCTGGCTAAGTGGCACCCTGCTTACCCTGCTGACAACCTTCAACATCCTGCGTAATAAGGCATGGTCTTTCTTCAGTAGCCCTGGAAAAACTAAGAGGGAGCAATAGAGAATAATAGGCAGGATGCGAGAGTTAACGAATTGTAGGAGTAAGGGTTGGGTTATGCCAGAATGTCTTAACTTCTTGATGTAGAAGGTAAGACGGAATATTTTCTTATAAATCATCAAGACTTGAGACGACCAGGAAAGATCAGAAGATAGAGTGACGCCTAGGTATTTAATTTCCGACTTGTTTTCAATTTCAGCGTCATCAATGTTGCACACCTCGTGTGGGTGCTAACCAGTTTGTTTAGGTCAGATTTGTGCCTAAAGGTGAAATTAACTGTTTGGCATTTGGAGGGGTTTAAGGTGAGATCATTTTCCTTGGACCATTGGATGATTTCTGATAAGAAGCCATTTAGTTTAGAGCAGTCACTTTGATATTTGACAGGTAAAGATACAGTTAGGTTATCAGCATATTTGACAAAGTTAATGTCATTTGAAGATGGTAGGTCATGTAAAAAGAATGAAAAGAGAAGTGGGGAGAGTACAGCACCTTGGGGGACACCAGCTTCAGTGAGCATAGCAGAGGAGGATTCACCTTTGTATACTGTGTACTGCATTCTGTTTGAAAAGTAGGAATGCAACCAGTTAGTGACCCAGGACTCGGTTTGTGTCATGGAGAGCTTATTTAGCAAGAGACATCTAGGTACAGAGTTGAAAGCAGAAGTGAAGTCAAGAAACGCGCAGCGGACATATTTAGCACCTTTATCTAATGATGAGACAATACTGTTGTGTAAGACGGCTGCAGCGTCTAAAGTACTCCTACCCTGTCTGTAAGCAAATTGTTTGGGGTCTTCAAAGCTTTTAAGGGAGGGTTCGAGTTTAAGAAATACTAGTTTTTCCATGAGCTTTAGAAACGGGGAAGTGATGGCAGTGGGTCTGAACTTTACGTTCTTGCTATTGCCAGGTTTAGGGACAGGGACTATTTTAATGTCTTTCCATGGAACAGGTACAACGTTTTCGGAGAAAGAAGCATTTAGGATATTAGTTAGAGGAGAACATAAAGCATTTGCACATTGTTTTAGAACATATGCAGGTATGCCATCAGGGCCAAGACTACATGAGGGCTTAAGAGTTTTAAGACATTTTGAAAACATCAAGAGTGGTCGCTGAATTCAAACCCAACCACATGTATTTAACTGGATATCATAGTAACAGGATAAAGCCTTCTTTCCATTGGCGATTGAACGAACTTATACTTTGCAATTAATAGTGTTCTCTGAGCTGGTTGGTTTAGTTGCGGAGCTTTCGTCGTCCTTCCAGACAACATCTTCAGCGCAAAATAAAAATAATGGTGAAACTATCAATGATAACGTAAATAAAAGAATATAAGGCATGTTATACAATATACACTGTTAATTGCAAATCATCCACCTTAGCTACAAATCTTCTCTATTATTTCAGAACTTATACTTTCCATCGTTAATATAATTATAATGAGAAATTTAGGAAACAATTAAAATAAGGAAAATGATTTGTACGTCTTCAGTAGGTTTGCAAAGACATAAATTCATTCCAATATCTCAGTTTAGCCGGTGTGAGGTAAAGCTGATATAATAACTACTGATCGTTAATTTGAATTTAACTGTAGATTCACGGACGTATGTTCTGTACTGAAGAACTTATTGGTGGTAATTTCACGCCCTATGATGGCATGAACGCTTGTTATATTATTAAGTACACTTAACGTTTAACTATGTAATCCCTACTCATCATCTCTTTGTTTCTCCCTAGTTCATATTTCGGAGTCTCTTGTTTTGTTATTACCGTCTTCATGGAGTATGAAGTTGTAGCAGCTATGCCGCTTTGTAATATTATAATATCCCTCTTGTCGTTTTATGCAGATAACTGTCCATATGATATTTAACACTGTCACGTTACCTCTTTGCTAATTTTATATCTATTTATTTAGACTAGTGGTTAATTTGCATCATTTTTAGATAACTGTAATTCCAGAAAAGCGCTATGTGGTTATTTACAAAAGGGGATTCAGATGGTTTGTTAAGTTCAGCCACATCACTTGGTTTGAGTTTCTCTCATGATCCAGTTCCGGGTTTCTGCGTTGATCCACCAAATTCAGAACAGTTAGGATCAATTCAAGGTCCATATAATTTGACATGGAAACTACTCCCTGGTTTAAAGAAAAAATCCAAAGAAGAAGTTACTATATTTATATGTAACCTAAACTCTAGTAATGGGTCAAGTGAAAATGAATCACTTTTATCTTCTCTTCAACGTACTGCCAAATGGATGAAAACACTGCGACATCCAAATATGCTTACCTGGGTTGGAGGTACAGAGATAGGATCAGGAAAATTACCTAATGAATTTGGCTTTGTTACGGAACGTGTATTACCATTACGGAAATATCTATCCCTTAAGGCAGACTGTGGAAATTTCAATCTTCTGTCATCGTGGGGCATACATCAGGTTTGTATTATTAATTATTTATCTCTGTTGTTTACTCAAAAAGCTTAATTTTTCTATTCGTTTCTAAAGAATTACTGTCTGTTTTCGACATAGAACTTTGCACATATGTGCGGAAGTTCAAGTCACCACACTCTCTCCATGTAGCACATAAAGCAACAGAAGAAAGTACAAGAAATGCATATCAGAGACAGTAAACAGAGGTGTGAGACAAAGAAATAGTAATAACGAAGAACAATATAATTTCATTTGAAATCATAAGTCACAAGGAGTGGATGCATCTGGTCAAGCCATTGAGAACGATTTTGAGCCATATCACCAATAGTTTCCAACCATTGGTTTTTACCGTCCCGAGGACCCCAACCAGTCAGTCAGGAAGTCTACACCTTCCTACATGGCTGGCTTAAACTAAGTGTTGTAGATTTCATTGACTAGTGAAGCCATGTTTTGGTTTGACCGCCACTAGCTTTTTTCCAGCCTGACCCTATGTCAGCCAGCTAACATTGCCCGTCGAGGTTGGCGATGACTAGGCATGCGTAACGCATGTCCTAACCATCTCAGTCGATGTAATTTCACAGCCTCGTTGATTGATTTCCCCTCCTTACCTAGAACTCGACCGGAGCCTAACCTCAATATTGCTCACCTTATTATACCCCTTCAACCGGGAGATAGGGCGCAGGCACCTATGATCGAAGACAACTAACCAGGCTTTTCATGTCTTCCACTCTCAATGGCCAGGCCTCGCTCACAGCCATAAAGGAGGATGGAGCGGACTGATGAACAGTACACATGCCTTTTTATCGATAGCCAGCCGGATATCACGTGTACGCGAGAGACGACGTAAACTGGCATATGCGAAACTAGCCCTCTATATCCGTGTTGAGATTTCGTCAGAGATCAACCCGTTGGCACTGGCTGATGGTACTTCCCAAATAAGTGAAGCGGTCAACGTGCTCTACCACTTCACCCCTAAAAAGTTACTACAGAAGTTTAGTTTCATGTGCATATCACATACCAATTCTCCTGTCTTATTATTATATACAGTTGTATTCACATACTACTTTTGTTTTCGTTTTGCTTATACTTTGAAGAACTAAAATCATCAATGTCCCAAATGTATCCAGTATCAAAACTTTTCCTGTTAACATCTCATAGTGCCGTACTCCGTGTTCTTAAAAGTTTCTAAAAATAAATCCTAGATAAGCCAAACATATCCAAACTTCTAGAATATGCGTCTAGAAGACACTGCATGTTATTCGCTTTTTGATTAACAGATAATTAGCTAGACAACAAATCAATATTTAAGAGAATAGTAGTTAATAAAGTTACATTTATCAATCCATCTAAGAAAGAGTTAGAAAGGATTGTGTATGAGGGTGTTGTTAGTGCGCACAACTTGTCACTGCCACTTCACAGAAGCCCTAACATAGTTTCCGTTAAACACTATGGTTCTTAAGGTAATTTTGGGAAGGTTTTTTGTTCCTTAATATAATAGGTTGGCAGTGGAAATGAAATTTTCATCTATCAGCCGATTCTAAAGATGTTGCACAGATTCAGTGGTTTTTACTGAGCAGGAGATGTAATTAATTCGTTCTAGTGTTAGACTCTCATCCATTGTGTTCTAGTGTGGAATCCCTCCCTAGATGATATAACCTGAGCAACCGGATAGTATCATCAGCATTCCGTCACAGGTGTCTTATAATATGTTACATTAGAAAGATCGTATCAATCTTATGAACTGATTAGTGACTAGTTGCTATTGACCTTTGATTATACATTAATTACTGTTTTTAAGACTGTTTTGATTGGAGACTGAATACGACACTGGACATAACCAGGATAAAAATCATTGCCTTTTAAAAAATAAGTTCTTATTTACTTTACCTAAAATTTTTCAGCTGACATAGGATATTCGTCTAACCAACAGACCTTCAATCATCGTATCACATCTGTCTGTCTGTTTTCGACATAGAACTTTGCACATATGTGCGGAAGTTCAAGTCGCCACACTCCCTCCTTTTAGAACACAAAGCAAGAGAAGAAAGTACAAGAAATGCATAATAGAGACAGTAAGCAGAGGCGTGAGACAAAGGAATAGTGGTAACGAAGAACAAAACAGTTTCCCAACCGAAAGCTGCTACCTTGACATGATGGTCGGGCTTGAACACCACAATGACCTAGTCAAGCTATACTGGCTGAGACTTATGTCTCTTGAGGTCCTACCATGCCAGAAAGGTTATTTGCATAGCGGTTAAACAGAAAGCAGCTACCCAATCCAACACTGATACATAAAAACTCAAAAAATATCATGCCGGATCGGCCGTGGCCCGGATTAACAACGACCGCGCTTCCTGCTGCCGTGTCACAGGGCAGGAGTGATAAGTACGCTACTGAGACTCACCAAGCAATAAAGAATGAACAAAAACAGGACGCGTGTGACCGGCCTCAAGCAGTTGTCCCCTGGGCTCTGCGGTCACGCAACCAACTTCCACGGTGTCGGCAGCCGGGAAGTAACAATCGCCCTCACAATCCGAAATGCACACGAAACGTCTCTAATCCTCACTCATCTTTGTCTTCATCCTCATCTCTATCATCTTGCCTTCCTTCCACTGATGCAACTCGTCTACTTGATGGCTCTTCACTTCCTCCTCACTCTGTGTCCACTAAAAACGACGAAAGCCAAACAGCCACTACCGATAGTCTCCTAAAGCCACGCCACCAATTTCGTATCGGAGCATTTAATGTTAGGACACTTTGCCAAATAGGACAACAAGCATCACTAGCCAAGACTGGCGTTCCGAGCCATTGATGTATGCTGTGTTTCAGAAACACGCATACAAGACCCAAGTGTGGTTATTCACCTAACCCCACCTGGCCAACAGGTTGAATCTGCAAAATTCACCTTGAGGGTGTCAGGAGATGCCACAGCTAGTTCACGAAGATTAGCTGGCGTAGGGATAGCTTTGAGTACTAGGGAAGAAAAGACATTACTTGACTGGATCCCGGTAGATAGCCGAATGTGTGCTGTCCGTCTGAACGGATCAGTAAAAAGGAGAAAGGACTGCACTACTCGCCGATGCCTTTTCGTAATCTCCGCCTACGACCCCACTGACTGCAGTTTGGATGAAACGAAGGATGAGTTCTACCAAAAGCTGTCTAGTTTGGTGCGAAAGGCTAAACGCTCAGACATAGTCGTTCTAGCTGGTGACTTTAACGCTCAAGTAGGGAAATTGTGTCAATCTGAGAAGGATGTCAGTGGCACCTATGGAGTTCCGTGCCAGCGAACCGACAACGGTGACTGTCTCCTACAGTTCTGTTCAGATAATCATTTGTTTCTCGTAAGCACTAACTTCAAACACAAGGAGAGACACTGTTTGACTTGGAGACCCCCTTCATCAAACCAACGCTGGACACAAATAGACCACATAGCAATAAGCTATCGTTGGTGTGGGTCAGTAGGAGATTGTCGCTCCTTCTGGAACACGTGTGTAGATACCGATCACGCACTGGTCCGCGCTTGGGTGTGGTTACGACTGAACGGACGTAGGAAACAGCTGGCGGTAAACCCATCACGTCCCCAGCTCGACCAGGAAATTAAATCCGTATTTGAGGAAGAACTAGCTAAACACATATCTGAGTTCGACAGGTGTGCTCACCCTGAAGAAGCTTGGAAAGATATCCAGGCAGCCATAGATACAGCTGTGAAAGCTGTGAATAAGGTAAACCCAAAGGTGAGTAAAAACCACTGGATCTCCACCGCCTCATCCGAACTGATAGATGCTAGAAGACTTATTCCGGCGAGCTCCGAATTCAATGAGGAGCGAAAGCTGCACAAGAGGAAACTTACGAAAAGTCTCCGCAAGGATAGTGAACAGTGGTGGGCGACAAAAGCGAAAGAGATGGAAAAAGCATCGGCGACAGGCAACAGTAGGCAACTCTTTAGGCTCATCAGGGAAACGGGTGGGAGAAGGCAAATCATTAGTGAGACAATCTCGGAGAAAAATGGCACCATAATTAGCTCCCAGGATAGACGACTGGAACGCTGGAAAGAGCACTATGAGGAACAGTTCAGTTGGCCCACAGACACGCTCAACCTGAAAACTCTATGCAATATATCTAATTTTGAGCGACCAGGTAGCGCGACTAGTTATCATGTAATGTGATTCTGTGGGTTACCAGTCGCCTAGCAACAGCATTTGTAATTGAAATTGGTTCAATACATATGTATCTTTTTTATCCCTTTACGTTCCCAGTGGAACATAAGGCTTCAAACTAGAGGCTTGAAGTTTCGCTAGCAGTGGTGATTATTTTTATGGGATGGGGTTGCTAGCCTCATACCCAACCTTCCCTCTTTACCAATTTTATTACTGGCTTAGGGGGTAGAGGAGTGCGTCTGTGGCCGGGGACCGAATTCCGGACCACATCAGGCGTTGGTCGGCAAGCATTCTACCGCTGTGCCATTGACGCACATGTCTATAAATATTTAGACATAATTATATATAACATTCCAAATCTAGTTTACAAGTAGCTGTTTGCATAATGTCTGTTAGAAAACTGAATGCTATTCATTTTCTAAGATCTCAAAGTTCTTTAACATTTAGCTTAAGTGAAGTAGTCATGGTTTATCATTTTATGATGTTTTCTGTAAAACGAATAATAAAAAAATTAACTGCAACTTACTTTATTCAAAACCTCCGAAAGTGGTGGAAGTATGTGGTTTTAACTGTTCCTGAGAGGCTTAAATTTCATAAATCATTATATAAATATGATCAGCAGTAGTTAGCTTTGTATAATCAATATGCTTGTTACACTGGTCTAATGTCTACTGTTGATGATGATCATCTATATTCAACTTTTGTGCAATTAGAATATCACTAAATTCCATTTTCGCATATCTTACAAATAACTTGAAAACTATTTCTCTGTATGAATGTGTTTACAAAATGTTTCTGTCTATTGATTAAGTAAATTAGTATTTTACACTAAAATCTCTTCCACTTGTT